TATTATGAATAGGCCCGTCACTGACAACCAAGTACACGACTTGTCGTCCCATCGCTCGATTTTTTTTATACTAAGAGACGGAACATGTGCTACTCAGAGTTTTCAAACGCAAAGATCTGTGGGGCACTACTTCTACGCACTGAGACATAAGTTGACAAGTCCCATGTGCCCGTGATTTCATCAGCACTAAGCTTGCGCACTGCATACGATTCGTATTCAGAAAACTCGGACCCACTTCGAATATCGCCTGTGCACTGAGACTGATCCGAATCCGTGAAAATACGCATATCCCTTGAACACCTATACTCTAGCCAAATTCGATGTAGAATAAATGTCAACAAACAAAAACGTATGATTCATTTATAATGAATATTATTCAACAGAAGTTTCAAATCACCTAAAAATGATATAAAAATGACCAGTAATCAATAATTTGTAAAACTGTGTCATCCTTAGTAACTTTTTGATTTGAAGGTAGAGATTGCAAACATTCGAGTAAGGCTGTAATTCAAGTTCAGAATCGGAAATAAATACTGGATGATATTCATTCATTTTATTTAAGAACCATGCTCTTGTCGGTGTAGCCTCCTCCACTCCTCCCGGTCCATAGCCAACTCCTTGACCTCCCTGTAACTGCTCACTGGATGATATAATACGTAGTAAATTAATATCAAATAAAATCTTACAATTCTGTTTCTTTTCATGTACCATTACCTACCATCTAGCAGTAAATATTAATAGGATGCAAAAGCTTATTTTGATTCCTAAATCATACGTATCAATAGGCATTTTGTAAACTTTACAATAATTGGCTAGGTAAGTATTACTTCTACGTAACCCAATTACCTACTTATCTATTTAAATTAAAATTAAGGGAGCAGGTCGTGGGCAGAACAAGCCTTAATAATGTACATTGAAAAAAAATGTTCTTTTCCAGTGCCATCATTGGTTGCCTAGCAGTATTAAATATTCTACATCTTTTTTTATTCTTTTTTATTAATAATTTAGGCTTGGATACAAGTCCTTTGAGTCATGTCTTCGTTTAATTATGTTTCTGTAAATATGGCCGCCACAAAGAGGATAGGTAATTTGAGGCGGCGTGCTTGAATTGACTCGGGATTCCTTAGAACGGGCCGATATTGGTATTTTAGTTCCAGGTTCGTATAATTTCGCTTTTTAATCTTCGATTAAGGCACAATAGCACTATCCTATTACACTTTAAACTAGATTTCACAAAATAATTGAAAGTCAAAATTAAAACGACACTTTTTTTCCCTCCAGGCCCAGAGCGAATCAACATTCTACATCGAATTAGACTAGATGAAATGATCCCTGTGACAATTCGGACGGCCATTTCTCGGATTCGGAACTCATACGAATCGGACGTAACACGCAAACGCTCGCTCTTATATATGCTTCAAAATCGTAACGCATTAATACTGATATTACTGCTTATTCTTATACATAGGCAAGGTGGCAGTACTTCCCTGGACAAACTTTTTCAGAAGGAGCTCTACTGCTACCAATACTTAAAAGTAATGTTAAGAAACAATAATAATATGATAATAACATAATAATAATAAAATAAAAGAAATCAATTTAACGTGAATGTTTTCCGCTTCGACATTTTAGGGACTATAATTACAAAAATCGTAGTCAGAAATTCAAACATTTCAAAGTAAAAATTAATTGTCGATAAACATCAATCATCGTAAATGAACATCACAATATTTGAGTCTAGAAATTTCTGTGGAGACAAAAAGAAATCATTGAATAATGATAGAAATAGTAACAAAAAATGCAAATAGTTGTCCGTAGTAAAACCAAATGTTATCCCACTGGTTTTAAAAATTTTGTTTTCACTCCCATTTTTATAAGGTAAATCGCTACAACTTGGCATTTTCACGTTTTACGAGAGATCTTGTATGTACAACGATCGCCATGTCACTGTAGCGACGTTGAAGGCGTGTCACCTCGATATGGTCATTTTGACCATATCGAGGCGATAAGAACCACGCCCTTATACCAAATCTCCCCTTTATTTCCTAAATCTATGATAATAACGCAACACACACATAGCCCCGCACTAGGGATACCCTGTGTCACAGGTGCCATGGACACACATATAGACAAGCACAAATTACATCCAAATTCATGAGAGATAATTCATAATTGGGAATTGAACCCAGGACCTCTGCGTGGCAGTCCGGCATGGTAACCGTTCGGCCACAGAGGCAGTTAAAACTATTAATAAAAAGGGAATAATTACAATACTTTCAATGCGCGTGTTTCCTTTCAATCAAATTAGCTATCTTGACAATTTAAAGCAGTTCATGTCCTATTGATTTTTCCCTCGCTGTTATGTGATACGGAGGTAAATTACTTCAATATTGTAGACAGAATAATTTGCTTCATGAAAAAAGAACTTAAGCTACGAGAACTCCTTGTTTTGTATTTTTTGTAATAAATTTTCACAACTAGACAAAGGTCACGACACGTACATGCGCCCTCTTCGTGTACCTACGTGAGGCGCACTATAAATTTCCGGAATTAATAAGAAAAAATACTATGAATGGTCAGAAATGAATTTATTGTTTCTCAAAATATTCACCGTTAGCGTTAATGCAGTTATTCATACGAATGAACCAATTTTGAAAACTTTTAGACGGCACCTACGTGACAATCTCTGAAACATATTTTTCATACTCTTCGACAGCCTTTTCAGGTGATGAAAATCGTTGACCGCGTAACTGGTTCTTAATTTTTGGAAATAAATAAAACTCACAAGGTGCCAGGTCGGGACTGCACGCGGGATGGCTCATAATGTCAACGTTGTTCACCTTCAAAAATTCATTTGTCTGTCTGACCGTGTGAGAACTAGCATTATCGTGGTGCACGATGATACGGTGTTTACGGTTATTTTTACTGAGTTTGTCAATAACTTCCTGCAAACAAATGGTCGTGTACCAATCGCTATTCACAGTACAACGATTCTCCAAAGTGGCAGTAGCCATGTGTACAGTTTTATTAAAAAAGAAGCAATCATCAGCTTAGATGCACTTTGCACGCGCGCCACTTTGGTTGGTTCGGCTCATCTCGAAAGACCCATGTGCTCGATTGCTGCTTTGTTTTGGTATCGCAACTACAAATCCATGTTTCGTCACCTGTTACTATGTCCACACTAAATTTAATGCCCCTTCGTTGAATCTGGTAATCATGGCATTGCACCAAGTGACGCGATCCGTTTTTTGAGCCTCAGTCAAATTGCGTGGGATCCACCGAGAGCACCGCTTTTTCACACCCAAATGTTTGTGTAGTATTGATTGTATTTGACTCGTGCCTATGCCTAAAGTTGCCCGAATCTCATGGTATGTCGCAAACCTATCTGTTTTGTTGTTCACAGCATGGACGGGAGACCATCACGAAATTCGTCACTGAGATTCACACGACCGCGTTTGAATTCTGCAAATCAGCTATAAATAGTCGTCTTGCATGGTGCTTCATCGCCAAAAGGAGTTTGAAGCCGTGAGAAGTTCCGCTGAGCTGTTAAATTACACTTAAAGTCGTAGAAAATCATACTATGAAAATTTTCACGAGTTAAATCCATGGTGATGTAGACAACCAATTTCTAAAGTGACGCGACTGTGTAAGAACAAGTGACAGTCAGATGAAACAAGCTGTATTCTGCAGCCAAAGAATTCCATTTTCAAATTTTGTAATTACTTTTTAAATATTGTTTATGTAAGCGGTCAGTTCCGGAAACTTATAGTGCGCCCTATGTATTTAGTACTTGGACTTCCATCCTCTAAGATTTAGTACCTTTCCTTGTTTTGATGGAAAGGGTGACAAGTGCCTGTTCTTTATGTCATGAATGTCATTTGTCATAATTGCCTCCGTATTCGAAAGGTTACCATGCTAGTCTGCCACGAAGATCCCGGACCGGAAGAAATATTTGTATGGCCTACATTTATTTTTCTCATGAATTTGGGTGTAATTTGTGGGCTTCTGTATGTGTGTCCATGGCACTAGCGACACAGGGTTTCTTCATTTCTCTAGTGGGCTATGAGTGATTGCGTAAAAAAAAGAAGGATAAATGTTATATAGTTGTACAGGACAGGGTAAGCGTCTATGTTTTTCAGGAAGTATTCTGTTGATCGCGGGATTTCTTCAAGTTTGCTATATATTGTTAATGTTTTCATTATCAGAATGTATCGTGAATTACATTTACTATTGCGTTTCTATGTTTGTGCTCATTTCTGTCGTTTTCTTCACTCCATTCCTGTACAGTCCATACTATTCACTTCACAGACCTAATCAACACACAGAGTAATTCTTGTTTAGACTCCTGTCTCTCATCAAATTTACTGTTTTATTAGTAATGTATCCTACACGAGAAATAATAATAATATTAATAATATTCTTTATTTCTCACTTTATAAAGTTATCTTTTATATAAGTAATTAATATTATGGACTCATCATTGATATATGTTTGTAAGAGGCTGGAGTCCATACTAGGATTTCACCTTTGTTACGGATCTTCACGCACTCACCAACCGGATTTCCCATTGTATTATAACATAATATGAAAGCGTTAATATGTTCTAATTTACAGAGAGATTATACAAGATTATTGTAATAATAATACAAAAGAAAAGATAAACAAATAATATCCTTATTATTATTTACGTAAAGCTATTAACAGAATAGAAGAGACATCGGGATCTTAGCAGAACGACAACAAACATTCGTTGAACTCTAATACCCATCAAGTTGACTAGATCGTTAATCTTGAGCAACAACGCCTTATTTAGTCCGTCAGCTCCCAGGACACAGTAAACATACTACTTCCGTATGGCAGGCGGGCGGCCCGTTTTCGTTTGAATGTCAATCGTCATATAGCCTTGCCCAACGCCGTCTTTCGAGTTACGAATTGTAACGGTGAAAGGCGGACGCAAAGTGGGGGCAAGCCTGCGTCTGCGCCGGCAGCCATGACAGTCCGTTGCGAACGCAACACCAGAACGCCGTTTTGCAAGAGCTTTACATTATCCAACACGTCGCCGCTGTAAACTTTTACCTTCGCGCGTTTATTTAAAATTCCAAAACGGACAGTGATGTGAGTGTTCAGTGGATGATTAGAAAAATTATGAACAAGTGCTAGTTTCTTGTTTTTCAACCAGAGCGACAGTTGCAAAATGTTTTTGAGTTTGTGCCTTGTTATTTGGAGTGCCTTCGCGCCGGCTCTGGCCCAAGGTGAGTTGAACAATGCCTACTGCTTCCTTTTGGGCATTGCGCGAAAAACTTGCGTACGCGAGTGTCCGCGGATGACAGTAAATGCGTATCCAACTCTACTAACACCAGTATAGATGTAACTGAATAAACGACATCAATTTTATTATATTTTTATTTATTTAATGTGGCTTAGACTTTCGAACAACTTTTTTTTGGTTATATAAACATAAACCGAAAGTTTATATTTCACTCTATATTTCAATATTAGGTAAGTATCTCAAATATTTTTTCAATTTCTTTTATTTTCCGTCTATGTACACTAGCTAGCTTTATGTCTCTTTTAAGTTTGAAAAAATCTTGTTCTTCTTTTCCAAATTTTACTTAAACCTATTTATTTTCTATTTTTACGTTGATTTTCCAATATGTGTTATCTAATAATGAACTGTACTAATACGTAAAATTATTGTTATATTGAATTTATTTCGTATAGTGCTGTAATAACTGTGAGTGAACAATAAGAAAAAGATCTAGGTCACAACAATATTGGTCCTCCAAGAGCGAAGTTTACGAATACCAATGGCTGCAGTTCCTTTTATGTCTGCACTTTCCCTAGATTGTACACGCTTTTAGCACCATTGCATGGACAAGAGATTTTATTGCGCGAGTAATTCAATTCAGGTTAGTAGGCGAGAGAGCATGAATAAAGTTTTACTTAAGTCGTATAAAAGTGTCTCGTGTCTAAATTTAAAACTTATAGACACAACACTTTAGCATTTTAATTTCATAATAGCCTCAGATTAGAAAAACGCATGATGATCACTCGTAGATGAAGCACGTCGGTCCTCCGTATGTATTTTGAAATTGATGCGGCCATACGTACCCATATTGTCGGATTTTTATTATAGATAACAAACCTACAGCTATTAATATTTAAACTGCCTTCGTGGCCGAACGGTTACCATGCCGGACTGCCACGCAGAGGTTCCAGGTTCGATTCCCGGGCCGGGAGAAATATTTGTACGGCCTACATTTATTTCTCTCGTGAGTTTGGAAGTAATTTGTGGCTGTCTATGTATGTGTCCATGGCACCCGCGACACAGGGTTTCCCTAGTATGGGGCTATGTTGAGTGTGTGCGTTATTAAAAAAAAAGTCACTTTGAAAAATAATGTTATTATATATAATTATGTGTTTGGTTCAGATTTTTATGAACTGATTCAATCAAAAAGAAATGGTGAAGATTTTTGAACCTTAACCAATTTTGAATTTACATTCAATCTCCACACATTGCTACCATGTATTGTTGTAAAATTCTTGATTTAAAAAAAGTAAAATTTAGATGTTTTCAAAAGGAGATGCCCTTTGCGCATTTATTATCCACTATTCCATCAATTTATTACTTATTATGAAGTATATATTTATCTCTATAGTTATGATATTATTTTGTGTCATATAATTTTTGTTTTGTTGTACACGTATTTATTTATGTATTTTAGTTATTGTGTCCTTTACTTAGGTATACAGGAAGAAATTTCTTTAAGAAATAATCAGAACCTTTTGTTTGTGATATCCTTTTTAAAATGTGAGACGATTGGGTCACATATTAACGTGCCCAGTCACAACGTGAATTTTAATTAGTTTGTGGTGAGTGATCAGAGTGCCGATCGAACATCTGTCGACCTTCAAAAGTTTTGGCCGAAGGGTGATATATCGGCGATTCCCCGGCCGGTTACCAGATTGCGCCACACGTCGCGAACAAGTGCAACTCGTGTAGATTAGTTATTATATTGTTATATTATATTGCATACATAATAATCCTTAAGGTATATTTATACGGGGCATGTGGCCAGAATTCAATAAATAATAAAACAAAACGTACCTGTGCCAGCCTAGATTCGAAACCATGTCTTCTACTTGCGAGGTGGTAAGTCACACCAGCTACCACGGCCCAATGTCTTACTGAATAGGGGTTAGGAAATAGTCGATCGCGCTGGCCCAATAACAACGTTCAGACATTCGAGACTCTTTGAAAATTATGTCATCTCTAATGTATATGCTGTTAATGCAAATAAATAATAGTAGTTTGTATAACAAGTGCAATAAACGCGTTGTTTTACCCGAGACGAGTATATCTTAAGATTAAGTATCTTAAGATATAGTCGAGGGTAAAATGAGTTGTATGAACGAGTTTACACTCCGCTTTTCACTTCGATTGCGAGGAAATTAAACAGCAATATTACAAATAAACGATAACACTGCTATTGCCAAGAAAAAATTTCTTTCCGCCAATATACTAAATTTTTTTCTACACGTGACTCAGGTCGGACTACATAATGCTCAGTTATATTTTACAAGCTTTTATTTTTTATGCATTTCTATTTCTTATAACTTATTAGAATTACTATTGCCTACTTTTTAATTTTGTATTATAACACGGATTTAAAAAACAAAAGCAAAACTTTATTTTATAAAGTTCTAGTGTGCGTGGCTGTTGGCGCAGGCGTTATTGCCTCGGTCTTAAACGACGATTTTATTTGATGCACTAGAGCATAAAATCCTATTTTATGCAGCCTACACCCAGCATAAATACGAACTTTAAGAACATGAGAAGTAAAAAAAAAATAAAAGCTCACTTTATTGCCTCCTATATAAACAAAACAAAATTATAAAAACTTTCAACAAACAACTACACTTAGATATTAAGTAGGAACACAGGAGGCAAAAGGAGGTGTCTCAGCTGGCGCTGCTCCTGTTCAGAACAGTCGCAGCGCTGGTTTTCAGTCACCCCGTTTTCCCGAAGATGGAATGCGGGACATGAGCAGTATCTAGGGCAGGACTATAATATTATCTATATATAATACATTCAAATTTTGATCTAATAGAGCTAATACAAACAAAGTGCGCGTGTGTGTGTGTCCATACCAAGTACCTGGTCTCAAATTAGGAAATTCTTTAACATTAGAAGATTAGAAGAAAAATTAGGGACACTTGTCACCCAGCCCAAACCGAGGTCGTCAAAAATATACAAATGTCAACAATGATTGGAAGAACTAATGAAATCTATGAAGCGTATAGAATAGGCTTGATTAATTCAGCAGTGGATATTTTATCCTTATTAACCTCGGGGACGACAGACCTGAGCCAATCCCTTGCGAACTACTATGAAATTAAAAGCTTAATCTGATTAAAGAGCACTTCGAAAATGGGTACAACTTATTAACTTCTAACTATAAAATATTCTGACTGAATAAAATTGCAGACATCCATTAAAATAATATGATTAGGATTAGGATGCCTGGTAAAGCTGTGACCTCGAGATCCCTGCAGAATATAAATTTAGACAGTTTTACTAGCGACCTTAACTCCATAGACTGGGAATCTGTGGGTGCTGAAGCAACTGTTGATGCAATGGTTGCCAAATTTAATATACTGCTCACGGAACTCTTTGACAGGCATGCTCCCTATAGAATTTTGCATATAAAAGAACCTAAGTCCCTGCCGTGGATAACTGACACGCTTAAATTTATGATGGATTTGCGCAACGAAGCTAGGGCGAAGAAAAAACATTCAAACTCAAATATGCGGTACTACAAGGACCTTAAAAGTTTAGTAGAAACTAGTATTTATTATGAAAAACGTGCTTATTTTAACCATTTTGTTAATTCTAATGTAAAAGATAGTGTTAAGCTTTGGAAAACCTTAAAAACCAAAATTTTAATAGACCCGAGTAAAAGTGAATACCTTCCCGACTGTTTCGGTGACCCTGATTTGATAAATGATCACTTTTTGAATGTCCCTAGGCATGTTGATATGGCTGTTAGTTTAGAGAGAAGTAAATTTGAGACTTCTAGTTTTGGGGCTGATTCCTTCACTCTTCAACCTGTTACGGAAATGGATGTTTCGAAATATATCTTGTCTGTCAAGTCAAATGCAATGGGGTGTGACAATATTAGCCGTGACATGATTATGTTGACGTTACCAAAGACCTTGTCGATAATCACTGCGATTGTGAATAGGTCCATTTTGACAGGTAGGGTACCTAGACTGTGAAAGAAAGCATTGGTCACTCCACTACCTAGACAATCCCAGTGAACTAAAAGATCTTAGGCCTATTAGTTTACTGCCTTTTCTTTCCTAAATTCTAGAAAGGGCAGTATATCGTCAGCCTCTATGTCATGCAGACAAGAATAATATGCTCCCTTGTCGTGGCACGGTTACTGCTTTGCTGGACGTAACTGATAATATACTAGCGGCACAGGACGCTGGCCGTGGTACGATTCTTTCACTCTTGGACTTTTCTCGAGCTTTTGATAGCATTGACGTTTCTCTTCTGCTATCAAAATTAGTCTACTATGGACTAGACCCACGGGAGGTTCAGTGGTTTAGTGATTACCTAAGTGACCGATGCCAGTCTGTAAGACTCAAGAAACGCAACTGCATTGATATGGTTCCCAATTTGCAGCCGGTTCATCGTGGTGTTCCACAGGGTTCGATATTAGGTCCTCTACTATTTATAATATACAGTGCTGATTTGGTCCAAGTAATAAAACATAGTAAATTCCACTTGTACGCCGATGATGTTCAGCTGTATATTTCTGAAGTGCCTGAGAGAATATCGGATTCTATACGGCTGCTCAATGAAGACCTAAATGCGATAGCTGAATGGTCGGTCCGAAATGCGCTAGTACTAACCTAATAAATCAAAGTTTATGGTGCTTGGATCAAAAGTTCAGATTAGGAAAATTTTAAACAAGTCACCAGTAGTTAGTATTTTAGGTCAAAGTATTTCCCGGGTTCATGAAGCTAGAAATCTTGGTGTTCTGTTGGACAGCGAACTCCGTTACGAAAAACATTTAGAAAATGTTGTAAGAAGTTGCTTTTATAGACTGAAAGTCTTGTACAAAATTAGGAATTTATTGTCCGAGGGAGTTAGGATCACTTTGTGCGAATCCCTGGTGCTGTCTCGTCTCAACTATGCGGACCTTGTTTATGGCCCTCGACTGTTATAAAAAACAAGTCGCTT